GACCGGCTTTAAAGGGTTAAAAGTCCACTTTGACCCCATCCATGCCTTTACAGGCATAAAACACATCCTTACCCTGGAGTGGATGCCATGCGCTTAATATATGTTTGATCTAAATAAATCTGGCAGGCATGTGACTGTGGTGGAGACTGAGATATGTCATATATTGGGTCAAAAAAACCCTCAACATACTACAGAGTGAACTGCAAGACAGAGGGGGGCTTGGGGGGATTTGTTGCATGTAAAACAGTCGTCGTACCGTGACAGAAATCTACGAGATTTGTCTGCTTTTTCAGAAAAGAAATATGCGGGTTGTGCTGTTTCATTTGGAAGCAAAAACAAAAAAATGTGCCATCTTATCAGGAAAAGACAGATCTCGGAGTAGTTTTGTTTCAGAGAAGAAGAAAAAACAGTGACGTCGTTTCATCAATTTGATCTCGTGTCGGTTTTAATTAAAGAAAGAAAAAAAAATCTCCCACCAACATTTTTCATTTTGCTAAATTTTGCCCAATTAAAAAGTTCTTACATGTGTCAAAAGAAAATGAACAGCAATATAACAGCACTTTCCAGTTTGAGCTCTTTTTAGCACTGAGGATTTACCATCACAGAGATGTGCAGGATGCGGAGCTCCTCTTTCGTAGAGACGTTGGCTGGATCCTCAGTCGGTTCTGGGAGGCTCAGGCTGCCGTCTTGGTGATGGATGTGGAAGAGCAGAGTGCCATTCTCCAGCCACTGCTGCCTCCAGCGCACTAGAGGGATGTCCTCCGAGTTCCCAGAGATCTCTTTAAAAACATAAAAGACAAACACGAGGGCACTCAGCGAGAAGCTTTCTGCTATTGCACATAAAATATTACCAGTATCTTGGAAGAGATCCGTTTAAATTTGGACAGTTTACCAGCAAATGGCATCTTCTGATACTGGAAGGTTCAATCGTGCAGATATCAAATATTAGCGAGAGTTAGCGAGTGAGCAGTCAAAGGCACGTGCAGTTTTAACTACAAAATAAAATAAAAAAACACACTACAAGTGTTCACTCAACTAACAAAATAAGACAGAAGGGACACACATTCAATTGAATTTATTTATAGCAGTCCTCCTCTGTCAACAGTCATGTCATGGTGCCTTATTTTGTAAGATAAAGATTCTACAATAATACAGAGAAAACCTCAACAACCAGACAGCCCACTACAATCAAGCACTTGGTGATAGCTGGAAGAAAAAACCCAATAAGTGTGTAACAGACAGGCCGGACCATCGTGTCCATTTAACACTTTGCTTCTCCAAAACGTGAAATGTACACACATGCAGTACGACGCAGTAACAGCAGAGGAAGATGTTTTATTTCAGGCCAAAATGAAAATAATCACGGGACATTTTAACACATGTACATGTAGATACATATTAGCCACCTAGCTTAATAGTTTCTGGCGATTAAGGACTCTGGAATGCACTTTATACCTTTTTTTGTCAGGGTCCTGGGTCCCCTGACCCAGCATGTTTAGTTCTTTGTGCTTTTTGTATTATTGTACTTGTGTGAGTTATTCTATGGTTTCTAGTTTCGATCCCTTGCCCTTCATGTTTCTCTGTGTAAGTCTGTGTCTGCATGTTTGAGTTTCCCTCTGTGTCTTTCGTTCTTAGAGTCCTCTACCTTATGGTTTGTCTCTGTGTTTCTTAGTTGCTGTCTCCACCGTGTCAAGTTCGCGTCTCTATGTCGTACTTCCTGTTTTACTTTGAAGGTCCATGTCTTATGTGAATGCATCCTTCTTTCCTTGTCTCGTCAGTCCTGATTTCTCCCAGCTGAGCTCTCCTTCTGTGTCTCATTCCCCTCGTTACTTCCCAGTGTATTTAAACCCTGTGTTTCTCCGAGTCAGTGTCGCGTTGTCCCTCTTGCTGTGTTGATCTCCCTGTGAGTTTTAGTTTGTTGTTTCCCAGTTTAGTTTAGTTTAGTTTGTATGTTTTTTCCTGCCAGCCAATAAAGCTGTGACTTTGAATTAACACCTTGAGTCTGAGCGCCTGCATTTTGGGTCCTACTCCTGCCTGCCACACTGCACTCCTTGACATTTTTACTCAGTACCGACTTCATGCCTTTAAATATGTTATCTCACCCTGCCGGTAATGCAATTTCTGCATGCATGTACATCTCACACTTTGGAGAGGCAAAGCATAAACGGACACGGTGGACCAGCGCGTCTGTTACAGGTTTGATACTAAGTTGGAAGAAACCACCAGAAGATCCAGGCTCAGGGAGGGGCAGCCCCTTGTAAGACAATAACAATTATACAACTAAACGTCATTACCCAGAAACAGAAACATCTGACTTATTTTAACCTCTATTGACAAAACAGTGAAGGTTTGTTTTATGTCAATTAGGTGACAACAGAGAAAACATGTGACAAGAGAGTGATTGAAATCATCAACCTCTATATTCCGCATGATTAAAGTAACATATTTACACACATTCATAGTCCCCAGGGGACGAATCCTCCCACGTCACATTCCACAACAGATGGATACTGGGTGCTAGATGAAGAGTCAAGGTTAATCCCTTTACACTTCATCTAGCACCACCATCAGGTTGGACTTTCAGAGCATTTAGCTCAAAATGCCACTTTCACTAAGTATAACCCACAGAGATGCTATCATCTCTGTCACCTCTTGTTTGCATGGGTAACAAATTTTATTGGCATTGTCGACCAAGACGCCTGCAATCTGATGAGCAATTTCATATTTGCAGCGCTCGGCACCCGTAACCTGAGAGACTCAAGGACAGTCGTGACAGTTGTGACATTTTCTATTACAGTAATTCATTCATTCAGTCTGCATTGTCCGGAAATGATTTATGCAAATACGTTGAAATGGATTGCACTGTTTTAGCGTTTTTCTGATCCCTGCTTAGACCGCTCCCTCAGCTGACAGCCGTTATATCCACGGAAGAACAAAAAAAAAGGAAAAAAAATAAACCCACGAGAAAGAAATGAGTAAACAGTGATTTTATGGAAGCAGTGGAGCATGAGAAACATTGTGCTTTGTGTCATACCTCAGCTCCCAAGACAATAAATTCCCCTCCTAGCTATTTGAAATATTAGTGATGTACGCCAAAACACACAGAGTGCAGAAATGGAAAACATTATGAATGCATGGCAGAGCGTTATGGGTGATTTTCTGTTATGTAAGTGTGAAGAGTAGCATCAGTTTCATAAGTTAGCAGAAGTCCTGGAAGACATCAATCGAAACAGAGATCACTTAAATTGCAGCTTAAGTGGAATATAGTGTATGTTCCAGATGTGATTT